TTTCTGCGTTAAAATTGGGTTGTGTTAGAATGACAAATATGAGAATATATGTGCATTTAAAAATGTTCAGTTTGAATTGAAAAATGTTACTTCCATAAAATGAGAGCTTTTCAAAGCTATCTATAGTACTAAACACTGTAGCATAGATTGGTTACTACTCACTACTGTTTAGATCTATATCCATGGCCCAACCCATCACATAAAGGATTTGAGTCCAAGAGGCTATCTTAAACCTTGTTCCTGCTGGCAAAATCTCTGTGGTGCCTGAGTTTTCATTCGTGTCTCTCTTGAGTAGTTCTGACCTCTTACCTCCCTCTTTCCCCCATGTTAAAGCCAGCAGCACACACAAGATGGATTGCATACGTGCTATAAACAGTGCTTACTCCGGTGATAAATATTTGGAGATGCACCACGTAAGGATTGCCCCTGCGATAAGATGCTTGTTTGAGCAAAGATTTTTATAAGGCAGGATATCTTCTACTACCGTTAGCCCATGTCAGCTGCAACAATCTCCAAGGATTTTAGGTGCAAACATTGTATACTTTCAGAATTTTTCTGAGAGGATGTTAACTGCAGGCTTTGCTTGTTTGATGTGATCGGTTTGGGAGGAGCTTCAAAATTAATCCAGGTATTGTGAGACGAAAGGTAAAATCAAGCCACTTGGCCATGCTGGATTCAAAGGCTGTGGCAGAAGGTGCCCGTGAATCCCCCAGACACCGTTTTCCCCTTGCCTTGCTTCCTGAGATCTGTGGCAAGCTTAAGCCCTGCTGCTTGCGTGTACCCAGCTTTCCTGAGCTGCATGGAGCGAGCTGGCTGGGAAGCGAGGTGGACAGCGGCCTTCTCCATGTACATCCCTCTCCACTTGCATACTAATAATCCTCCTCTGTAGACCTTCCTTCACGCAAGCCTTTTCCCCAGTTAAATGGGACATTATCAAGGATCTGAAGGCCGTACGAAGCCCGGAGTGGGGATCCCGCATGGAGGGAGCCTGGTTTCTCTGCAGAAACAACCTTGGCTGTTTGTTAGCTTACTCTTTGCAGATTGGATGTCCAAAGTGGTCCTGCATGACACGCAATGGGAAAAAACAAGTATGTTAAAGATTGTGTAGCTGTAGCCCGCTTTGGTCTCTACAGCTTGGTAGTTTGATGTTGGCAATGAGAGTACAGAAATAAGAGAATAGCAATGAGAGAATAGTAGAAAGAATCCAGATGAGGACAAGAACCTAAAATAATTTCTGGTGTTATTAATTCTCCAAAACACTCCATCTCTTTTTCTGATAAAGTTTTTAGAAAAAGAATAAAAAAGAAGGTATTCAAAACTAAACATTGTGCAATGCCTGGCATGTGTCACTTGGTAAAAGGAAACAAGATTTGTGGAAGTGCTTCTGGCTTCAACTTTCCATTTTTATTGTTTCTCTCTGCAGCTGGTGTGCAGAGTCACCATTTGCAGAACAATTAATAAATACGGCCAAAGGAGGCATATGGTGATTTTTCTCAGGCATTATGTTCTGCAGATGATGTCGGGTTAATAGCTCCCCATCTCAGTCTTTGTGCTGTGTCTCTGGTTCCTGTGCTGTCAGGCTGACCTGTTGTAGCAATGGTCCTTTCCTATAGTGTCTGAAAACTGACCCTGTCTGAAACTTTACTGAGAGAGAAGGGTTTTCATTGCATACAGAGTTCTTTTTCACTGCTGAAAAGGGATGTGGCATCACTTTTGCTAATACATTGCTGAGAAACTTTAATATGAACTTTTCTTTGTTGCTTAAGAGATTTATAGTATGTCCAGAACTACCTCTCTCTTCAACATGTCCTATTTTACAGATGGGATTAGGAGTTCTGGGTATGTTTTGAGTCAGAAGTTTTTGCTTCAGTCTTAAGTATGGGGTACAGGTCTGTGTTCCAGAGAAAGATATGTGGGGTTTTAAGCAATAGATTTCCCATTTCTGTTTAAAAAACCTGTTTTAAGTGGTGTATGTTAAAATGTCAAAACACTGTGGAGCTGTTGTTTGTAAATTACAGATTTGTCAAGCACCCGTGACATTTAAATAGTCTTACTGCAGTTACACTATTTATTCACCAATGATCTGCGACTGTGTTGTAATTATGGAACCTTCTAAAAAATAACCGAGCAACTGGTCTGCAGGGTCTGTTGGGTTTCATGAAGTAATGGCTGTATTTTGGCTAAGGACTTGTGTAACATGTTGTTGCTCTGAAGTGCCATCTTTTTCTGATTTTTGAGACAGTTTGCCTGGAATATTTCCATTCTGTCTGGGCCCATTGACTTGATTATAGGTAAATTCCACAAAATTCTTCTGTGGGGTGTTAAGGAGAAGGGAGGGGGAGGGGAAAAAGTAAAATGACCGTCATTTTACACCACCAACTAAGCTACAACAGAAAGGCTGCTCTCTTTGGCCTTTGATTGTGTCAGATGCCTTTTCTTTGCAATTGTTTTTTCACTTGAGAGAGGTTTATGGTGCTGTGTCCGTCAGGCCAGCCCTGTCTTGGGGTTGAAGTTGTATTTCTCCCCGAGTTCGCAGAGGTGATGTTATCTTTTGTTCACTCAGCGGTATGGTCATTCCTAAGAGCATCTGTCACTTTAGGCATTGGAAGATGGATGAGTCTCAAGTGAACTGCTGGTTGAAGCAAATGGTGAAAATAAGAAAGGATAAGGGGTTGGGGTCTTCAGAAGGGACAGACAACAAGGAAACACTGTTAGAAATCAAAAGTATGCCAGGCAACAGGCAAATAAAGAGCCAAGATGGATCACATGTTATCATATCCCGCACCTTGGAAACCAAGATTGGCAGCTTTTGTTTCCTGAGATCTTCCCTGTCTTGGTAAAAAGGCTGTGGATTTGCTTTCGTGTTTCATTTGCAGACAGGAGAGGACTAGAAGGATGTTATCTGAAAAGGGCAGAAGGATTTGTGCTCTTGCTATGTGCCTCAGATGTAAGGCTAAGACAAACCAATGCCACCAATAATCAGAAAAAGAGATTCTAATAGTTTGTGTTTCTCAATTATTGTCAAGAATTTGGGAGAATCTTCCAGTACTGGGTGGATTCATAACAGTATAGAATCAAAATTAAGCGTAGTTTTGCTTTTGGAATTCAGTGAGCTCTTAGAATTGTTAGGAGTTTGTATTTTAAAGAGAGCTTAAGGTATTTAAAATACGGACGATGCAGGGCAATACCTCTATATCTCTCTGAATTACTTGGACTAATTGAACTAGATGTTTTAATGGGAGGGATATTAAAAAAAAAAATCATAACCTCAAAACCAAAAACACTCACCCAAATCGCGAACAGTCAACCCCACACCCCCACAAAATGGAGCCAAGGTCCGTGTTTGCAAAGGCAGCTGGATAAGAACAAAAGATGAGCCCGGTATATGTCAAGGTTTGGGAAGGGTCCAGGAGGATCTTGGCTTGGAAAATTATTTTGTCACACTGTTGGCATTGGCCCATAAGGGGAAGCACCGGTTGAAAGGCGAAGAAATTAAGATGATTAGAAGCTTTAAAGCTTCACAAATGGTAGTGTATCTCTCCTCTCAATGGATGTAAATAATAGATGAAAGACCAAGAGTGACAACAAAGGATCAGGGCGTTTAAGAGAATGTGTGCAGTCTGAATAGGGGTCCGTGGCCTAGGGCCAAAGGTCTTAGCTTTGAGTGTAATTAGAAGAAAATACAAAAATGTCATTACTAGCAGGTGAAATGTTCAGCACGTGTCCGAAAAATAGCAATTTCAGACCCAGGAGCTGTAGGAATTGGATTACTGACGTCCTGAAATCATTAAGGTCTTTGCAGAGCCTTACAGTTTGGTTGGGAGCAGCGTGTGTTAACCTTGCCGGCCATCTGGGATAGATTTGCTGTTAGGAGCGTGGCAGGGATGCATAGCCGAGGGAAGCATCAGTGGGCCCTGGGAATAGAGTTGTTTAAAGGGCTTTTCTCATAACACAAAAATGCTAAATCAAAACCTTTCACTTTTCTTAAGTGGTAAGGTTTATAACTACTTGCTTACATTGATTGCATTTAAAGATAAGCGGAGGAAGAAGCTTAAAGATGAATTGCTTTTAATTTTAAAACCTGCCTTATGAATGCACTTCATGTCCTTCTGCAATAGGTATGTCCTGCTTTTGACAAGAGGACCCAAACTAGGGTAGCAGTCTTAAGACTAAAATCCCATTTGCAGTCAATATGGAGAATTCTTTGAAAACTTTTGGCAAAATTTTGGCCATCTCTTTTAGGAAAATGAACTAGGTTGTATGCCTAAGAAAGTCTTGTCAAAGTTCAGTCAGTGATAAGCTAAAGCCTTTCCTGATCTTAATTACTGTTTTGTCCAGGCTAAATATTTTAGGAGCTGCTGCTTTGCTGCTCTGCTTGCTTTTTGCTACAGCGTTTTCATTCCTTCGGGCATTTCAAGTGTATTCTCTTTTATGAGCTGTGATTTCTATTAGAAACATCTTTGCTCGCATACCTTTATGGGGTGTCAGATGGGAGAGCAAACGGCAAATTCTGACTTCATTTTGAACACCAATCCCTAGTTTAAAGCAATTATCTACTCCCCCATCTAGTTTGGCTTTTTAATCCTATTTTAAAATAATTATTTCTACATTATTGTTTAGTTTTGGTGCTTACTCATTTTGATGTGGTAAATTCCTAATCATTCAGCTACTTTATTAGCAAAAACTTGCAGATGCTAACAAGCTCCTACTTTTCTTCTGGTGGAATACAGAGAAGATGCAAGGCAGCTTGAACTAAGGATTTTATTTTATTTATTTATTGTTATTTTTTTAATGTGGTCATCTTGCATGGGGAAATGAAAATACCTTAGGAGCCTTAAATGTAGCAGGCACTGGAGGGACCTGAGAAGCCACTCAGTGTGATGCCCTCCACTGGTTCAGTTTTTGCCCTGTATCAGGTTTTGATAGGCAGATTTTGTTCGAACTATGTGCTGCTGTGAGTCATTCTAACATCTTGTTTTCCCTTCTTATTTTTCAGGTGTTCAGGAGCTTTAAGCAGCTTAGCAGCAGGATTCACAACCTCTTGGCTGCATCCCTTAATCATGACTGCATTTCAGACAGGTTGAAAGGAATCTGAGCAGGTACCGTACTTACCCTTCCTCACAGAGAATACGTGTTTCGGTGTTCAACATATGTTGAAACAGTATGTTTCTGTTCATCATCTGTGTTTTCAACATGTTAAGAACATTGTGGACTGTAAATAACTTCTATTTTTGCTTTGCTTACCTACCTCTTCCATGTTCTCCACAAATCTTGACATCTAGATCATATAATTAAAAAAAGTCACTGCCGAGGACCCATCTGTGCTTCCATTGTTTCTTTGCATACCACACGAAGGTCAGCCTCCTTAGTTAGTGACACTTTGAAGCCTTAACAAATTTCTTCTGATACATTACTTAGAGGCAGTGCAAATACCTAAGCTACTAGTCAAATATGCTTTATGCGCTCGGAGGGTCGCTGTGTGTTTGTTTGTTCTCTCAAAGCGTTTAAAACAAATGGGAAGGCAGATGCTCGAAGGATTTGTGCCTTGAACTGAGGTTCCCACAAGGGTTTTTCCTGACTGTGAGTGGGGGCAGAAGATGAGGCTCGCACGGCTTCTTTCCACAGCTGAGCAGCCAGCGTGCCCAGGAGGCCCAAGAGCTATTCCCATTTTATGACCTGTTGTATCCCCGGGGCAAGGGCAGCGCGGAGGCCCAGCAGCGCGAGGGGGTCATTGCCACAGCGCAGCCCCCGACGGCTGCACAGGGCCTAGCGAAGCTGCACGGCCGAAGCGTTGGGGCTGGCAACATCTGGGACGTAGCACAACGCGGGGAGAGGGGGGACCCTCCTCGCGTTTGCTTCCCCGGGTGCCCGGAGGAAGCGGTGTCGGCCTGCGCGAGGGGGGCGGCCGACGCCGGGGCCCTGAAGTGAGGCCGAACAATCGCCGAGGTCAAAGGACGGCGGAGCGCGGTCAATGAGACACCCCGCGGGGTATTTTGTTACTTGGTAAAAGGAGCAGCATCCTAAAAACCTTAAAGGATTCTCTTGGAAATCGCGTGTTGTGAAAAGGTTTTATGAGTGCGATGGCAAAAAAAACAAAACCGAAAAGGCGCTGCTTTGGCGCAGGGATGCCTGC